CCCCTTCCCCCATTCACATTCATGATCATTAGGGAATACACAGAAAGCGAGGATTTGTATGTTAATTGCTTAGGAGTACACTAATTGATCAAACGTGTTTGATAATTATTGCCCTCTGGAAAGATTGCTTCCTGCAAATGCTCATGAATTTTAATCCCTAATCTCAAAGTGATTCATGTCCTCTAAAGCAGGATCTGAATCTGCCAGAAAACAACAAAAATGACCCACTATATTGTTCCAGAATAAAGTTAACCACAATCTACTTCCTGTCCCAAAATGACACTATTGTGCTAATGTGTATTCTTTAAGGGCTTTTTTTATAATGGCTTTCCAAGTATCGCTAAGGGAGTGAAAATTTTATATTTGTCTGCCTTCCCAAAGTAAAGCAGTCTTGAAAGCTTCACACACACTAAAGTTCTCATTCTATGGGCTTAGAAAGATGACTCTGCATTGAGTAACTCTCATATATGCACACATGCACTTCTATACAAAGTTGTAGGAAAAAAATCCTAATATTATCTCAATTTTAAAAATTTCCCAGGACAGATGTTTCTGCATCACTGTGTCAAAGTGGAATCAACTTCCATAATCCTGCTTTAGTGGTCATTATTACCGGTATATCTGTTACTTTAACACACAAACACACTTATGGAGGAGGTAGGAGAGAAAGATTGGGATGGTTTAGGAGTTTATTTCAGATTAAAATAATCCATAAAGGGGATTTATTTACAATTCCCCCCCCATCTTATGACCAGAAGTATGCTTTGCACTAAATTAAGGCAACCCAGCATTAAAATCAGCAATTTGGGCTGACAGCAGATGGTAGATAGAAAAAAGAAAACAGAGGACAACCAGTTTGTAATTGAGTTTTTGTGTGATATGGAGACAAGAGCATACAATATGTCTGGCCACATATGGTCACCCTAGAGTAATTTTCTTATAGGACCATTTAAGATTCATGTAACAATCAATGCAAATGAGATCCCGTGCAATTTGTCAAACTTGGCACCATGATGTTCCCCCTGTGCTTAAATTGTACTAAACACATAAACAGATTGATTATCGTTGCAGTTGTCTAAAGCCAAAAGACAGGAATAGTCAGGATAAAATACGCCTAGCATAATTTTTCTTTTCATTGCTAATATTTGGAAAATACTTCAAAATAATTGGGGAGATGGTGGAGGGAGATTGACTGAGTCAATGCAAATCCTGCATGGTTTTTGCCTAGGCAACACCCGAATGCTTTCCTGCCTTCCGTTGCTGAGTCTGCCAATACTGCTTGCCTAGCTCAGTGCAGTGTTTCTCGACCGTGGCAGCTTTAAGAGGCATGGGGAATTCTGGGAGTTGAAGTCCATGCCTCTTAAAGTTGTCAAGATTGAGAAACACTGGCCTGGTGTGTGGATCCCTTGTCAGATGAGGGACAAGATTGTGTGCTTGAAACCAATTAGTTACTTCTCCTATAAATAATACTGAAGCAATCTTTTTTTTAATTGGATGGATGGAGTTCAACCCCCACATTTTTTTTTCCACCGCTGTTGCTCTTAATACATTTATGTGTTTAATCCAGACGGATTTTCTGTTCTCTGGCATGTCATTCTTTGAAACCCAGATGTCAGAGCTCCAGGCAGTTGTTTAACAGATTGTCTTTTGCTTCTCTGCCTAAGAAGATCATGTAATTTGTCCTATCTTCTTTTTTCTTTCACATGTGTGGGCATATTTAACTAAGACTGGCATGCAGGTTAATTAATACTGCTCCCAAATCAATGGATAAATAATATTCAAATATTAAGACTTTCAAAATGCAGGTCTTAGACTCAGGTTCATATAAAAATCTGGAATGGATACATATTGTCATCCTTGTCCTGTCCTGTCCTGTTCCTATCCATCTCATCACCTTGCTTGAAAAAAACTCAAGAAGTAAATATGGGAATATGAGGTTGTACTTTCCCAACTTCCCTGTGAGATAATTGACACAGAAAGGGCTTATGTCTCACAATATGGTTGAACAGGGAACTAAATTTTTCCATTCAACATTGCTTTTGCATAACTTTAATTTTTTATACCACTAACCTTCTAAAGAACTGTGATGTTACATTGCCTCCCCGCCCCAGTAACTCTATGAAGTTTATTATGCTAAGAGGTCAAGGCTGGGTGACTCAAGTTCACTCAGTAAAATTTTTCATGAATTTGGAGGAACTGATTCAAGTCTCTTATAATTCCAAGCAGAGAAAGAAAATCTTTCTGTGGCTTTTTTCCTTGACCTGGAGAAAAAAGTATTTCATCTTCAAAAGTTAGCGAACTAGAAATTTGTGCAATAAAATGTAGGACATTGGGAGGTTTGCAAGCTTTAACTCCATTCGACTAGTTAGAGCAGGGGTAGTCAACCTTGGCTCTTTTATGACTCGTGGACTTCAACTCCCAGAATTCCTGAGCCAGCTAAGCTGGCTCAGGAATTCTGGGAATTGAAGTCCACGAGTCATAAAAGAGCCAAGGTTGACTACCCCGAGTTAGAGGGCAGTCTACTGTCTATAGTCCAGTCCAGTCTAGCTGGGCTCTACTGGCAGTCAGACAGACACCTAAAGCTTGCAAAGACCCAGCGTCATCCATTTTGTTAGTAGGCTAACTTTTGAAGATGTTTTGGGGGGGGTTTTTCTCTCCAATTCGAGGGGAAAAGCTGCAGAAAGATTTTCTCTCCTTGCTTGCTTGGTTCCTCTACCCTTCAGCCTGGAGTCAAGGTAAGGTTTTTAAAAGGGGTAGAGATTAGTGAGCAGAGGGGGAGAGTTTAGTTTTAGCACCTAATTGGGGTGGGGTGGAGAGAATCAATAAGTCTGTCCCTCCCAGCTTTTTAAAAAAAAAAATTGTTTATTGAGCAAATGTGGCTTTCTGTGGGAGAGACGGAAGAGGATAAGCAAGGAAAAAGTTTTCAGAAGCTGGTCCTGAAGCTGTCACTCACTTTATATGCAGGGGCTGGCAGAAGAGCTTTGCAGCCTCCCAATGGCCAGATGGTTGGTGCAGAAAGCTCTGAAAGGCATTTATTTTGCCCCAGAAAAGTGGGGGTCCCTTGGCAGGAGGAAGTGGGGGGTCCCTTGGCAGGAGGAAGGGCAGGGGCAGAATCAGGAAAAGCAGGTGTGCTGTCTTGCCAGTGACAAACATGTCACTGGCAAGACAGTCATCTTGCATGCGGTGGCTGGCATGCAAGCTACCCAAGGGGCAGGAAGTGGAGCATGGGATCTCTCAGGGTGAGAGAGGCCTCGGGAGGCCTGAAGCAGGTGGGCTTGTGCCTGCACTGGGCCTCCCAGGATCTCACCACCCCTGAACTCCACTTAATGACCCATGAATTCATTTAACAAATGAAAGATCAGGGGTGGCTGGTTATTACTTGAGACAGTTGTCCCAAATTCCAACCGTAGTCGTAACTCGAGGACTACCTGTACGTAGCTCATGGTTGAACTGTGGAGTCCGTGGTGCTCTTTGAGCTTGGTCTGCAAACAAACAACCAAGCTCAGAAAGCACGAAAGACTACGCAATGATTAACAATATCACACTGGAACGTCTAACCTGGTGAACAGCCAGGTCTTAAGGGACTTCTGAAAGGTTATCATGGATGAGGCCAATCTAATCCTGGAAGGGAATGGTGTTCCAAAGGGCAGGTGCAGTGACAGAAAAGGTTTAAGGCAGTGTTTCTCAACCTTGACAATTTTAAGGCATGTGGACTTCAACTCCCAGAATTCCACAGCCAGCATTGCTGGCTGTGGAATTCTGGGAGTTGAAGTCCACATGCCTTAAAATTGTCAAGGTTGAGAAACACTGGTTTAAGGCCTTGTGTAAGACAGATATTTCTTGACATAACACTGAAAACTCTGTGATATTATAACTGATATTCTTCTAGATTTAGAAGAGCCTAGAACTAAACATTGGTATCTGATCCAGGAAGCTTTCAGTATTAGCCTTAGGAGAATGATGTATTTCCTGGAGGCAGATAATATCAAGCTTTTCTTGTTTATAGTTAAGTAATCATTTTTGATTGTTTAAGTGATTATCTAAACGTTAAAATTAAATGGTAGACTTTCTCAAATTAGCATAAGAGATGTATAATTTAATGGCATCTACCTTAATTGATTTTTGTTCTTCTTATCCAATGTACTTTTTAAAATGTACTTTGACAGATAATATTTCTACCATAATGTCTTTTAAGAGAAGAAAAGAAAAACATCTTAGACAAAAATAAAATCCATTAAGAGACAAAGCCCTTCACAGAGAGGACTCTGTGGGATCATATTTTCCAGATTTCATCTCCTTAGGTTGTATAACTAAAGAAAAAATTGTGCTGACTTTGGTGTGAAATAAAAGGAAATAGAGGAATTAAGCTTACAGTACATTTAATGCAACTATAAATTTAAAATATACCTCTCAAACAATGCCCAAAAGAGGAAAACATGGCCCCAAAATTGCCCCCCACCCTTCTCTGACCTTGATTTTATTACCTGACCTGCTTTGATCCCCAGGAGCTTAAAAAATAAAGCAACAATAACAATTAAATACGTTCTCTTCCTCAACTGTAAAAATTGTTCTAACCATTACCAATTTTTAAAAGCCAAGGAGTGCGATTGTGCGAACTACTTAGGTAATGCTGCCAAAGAGCTTGAAACATTTTCTAGGACAAATATTTTTATTTAAACCCTATCTTTCCAATCTAGACTTATTAAATAAACCTGACCAACGACAAAGCTTTGGGTCCTCCCTAAATAGAATCCTTATTCTCTTTTCTAATTTGTTTGACTAGAGATGAACAAAAGTGTATACAGGAAATATAGCCTATATACAAGACAATATAGCATTTCTGCTATTTGTCTAAAAATGTATACGTGAATGTGATCATAAATGCTGCTCCCTCAACTACAGTACTACAGTCTTGCCCACAGATAAACAAACATGACCCTTGTTGACTTTGATGGTAGTTTAGATGAATACAAGCATAGAATTCTTTGACGTTCACTAACCAGTGTGCAGAATATGCATTGGCATTGTGCTATTGTTGTCATCTGCTCCACAGGATACTCCCCAAGGCAGAGTTTACACAACACAAGAGGATCAAGCACCAAGTCCCAGGTAGGTCTGTATCTGGCTGTAGTCATTGCAGAATAATCTGAAAAGGAAAGGGAACAGTGTATCGGTTTAAAAAAAATCTGGCAAAATTTCACATTTCCTTTATTCTGAATATAGTAAAAAGTTGTCCAAACAATTTTTCAAGCAGAAGTGAGCAGCATAAAGGTCGTAGATAGCTCTGTCAACTTCCTTTTATTTCCCTGATTTTGTACTGCCGAAATAATAACCATTTTTTTAAAAAAAGGACAAAATATACTTTGATAAATTCAACTCACGTATTTTATTATTTCCCATTGTTTCCAAAATTTAATTGTTGATGTTGATGTCAGTCTGTGGGCTTTGGCCTGGGCATGACCTAGAGCAGGGGTCTTCAAACTTGGCCCTTTTATGTCTTTGGACTTCAACTCCCAGGAGGAATTCTGGGAGTTGAAGTCCACAAGTCATAAAAGGGCCAAGTTTGAAGACCCTTATCCTAGAGGATAACTAACTTTATTCAACACTGGGAAAACTACATCAAATGAATAAATTGCACTAAGTATATCCATTCACAAATGAATGGATTAAGTCAAGGGAAAACCTATTCATTGCTTACTCTGAATGTCAGTTTGGTACCCTGGTTGTGCATATGAAATGTTTTAACCAGAATATTCATCGTATCCTTCACAACATCAAGAAGCCCATCAGTAATCCTGTTTTAAATAACATTTTGGATGTAAGCATTCAGAGAAGCTCTAATGCTAGACTGAGTGTTATTTTCCCAATAATTGCCCCAAGATGCTTCTGTAGAAGTGTCCCCTCCCACTCCATATGATTTTGCAGCTGGTAAGAGTTTTGAATTGTACTACAGTGCATGCTGATCTTCTCTGCTTTGATGAACTTGTTCTTTAGCTATGTAACAATTGGAATCAGAGACTAGAAGAAGGCAGAAAAAGTATATGAGTACATGATTGCTGCTGCTCTTATCCCAGAGTGTCCTAAAGACAATTTAGCTATCCTATAAACATAAATGGCTTGGGTTTATTTAAATGTCCAAAACATACATGTGCCTTAATACTAGCAAAATAATATACAATCATGCTTAATAATATATAAAGAACAAGTCAGTGTTGATTCCTGGCAACTGCTTCCATTTGTCCCTGAAGTTTTCTTGTTAAAGTTTTTGGAAGTGTTTTACCACTGCTTACTTTCTCAGAGATAAGGTAAGGCCCAAGACCATCCAGATGGTTTTGTACCTAAACAGGACTTGCCCTGATTTCTAGCCAGTTGCCTTAACCTCTACACCATATTGACTGTATAAGCAAACTTAAGAACAATGTGACTTTATTACCTGCCAATGTAAAAGAAGTGAAGTTACAATTTAATTCTCCCTCTCACTTCCTTTGGATATTATTTTAGCTAATATATGCCTTTTTTCCATATCACTACAGTACTAATTGTAAGCAGAAGCCTTTAAGCATTACACAATCACATTTGTGATTCCTCCACTTGTTGAGGAAACAAGAACTATTATTGAATTCTTGGCCATCTAGAAGTATGGTGCTTTGTTTTTCATTACAATTGGCAACAACTAGATAGAAAACAAGAAAGGAAAGGGGGGAAAGTTCAAGCAATCTTATTTTCTGTGGATGTTGTGGCTCATTTCTTTTTGAATTTTGTTCCAAAGAAAAAAGGAAATAAAAAGTCATTGAACATATACTAGCTTCAACTTGAAATCCACTGTCATTATGTGAAGTTCTACAAAAGTGTGTTGTGTTTATACAGGAAGGAGGAGAGGGGGGAGAGAGAGGAAGAGGGAGAGAGAATAATTATATGTGTATTAAACCACAAGCTCTTAGTTTTTTCCTTCTCCTCCTCCATAGTTGTAGGGTTAGGATAATCTGAGTTTGAGTCAAGGAGACACTAAAGTGACAGCAACAGGTGTAGCAAACATAGCCATGGTGGAACTAAAGCAAACTTGGTGCTTGGGATATTTTGCACATCTATTTGACTTCTAGTCATTCCTGACCTTATCCCTTTCTGTTTTATCACATTTCTTAAGTAATCCATTCCTACTGCACTTCAGTTTATTTGTATATGGTAGTCTTTTGCTTCTTTTTCAACTATCATTCATTCTAGGCAATAGACCATGTTCTATCTACAACCTTTCTTCCAAAATCTGAAGATCTTAAAATTTTCCTATTTCCTCTTATAGAGAGATTATATGTTTTCTAACAGATCCTCATTTTTTTTCAACATTATGAAACCCCACATGTAAAACGCATTTCGGCATTACAAGATCATATTGAAAATTGCAAATGTGAAAAAAGTGCATCGTCTATTTCTATTCAAATAATTACCCTACATCAGAGGGTGAGTTATTGTAGTATTACCCAGTATGGTATGCTTATTAATACTGAACTAGATATAGCAAAACTCAAATCGATTTCCCATTGAATCACTGAGATTAGTGGGTAACTTTCCACTTGACAAAACACTGAAATGTGGGACAGATCACCAACTAACAAGTCTGATATCATGGAAATATGATATAAAACCTAAAGGTCTGCTAGGCCAACCCCAGCCAGGGCAAAAATCCTCAGATCATCCTAGATAAATTTTCTTTGTATAAAAGCCTCCTGTGGCGGAGCACCCATGGTTTCAAGAGGCAGGTTGTTCCACTGCTTAATTGTTATCACAATCAGGAAATTCCTTATTTCGAGTTTGGATCTCTCTCGGTTAACCTTGTATCCATTGATTCTTGCTCTACCCTTGGGCACTACAGAGAATAAATACACACCCGTTTCCCTATGACAGGGGTCCCCAACTCCTGGTCCGTGGGCTAGTAGCAGCCCGCAGCATGCCAGCAACCAGCCGCACAAACAAGTGAAGCAGACAGCAGTGAAGCAGACAGCACACGAAACCAGGCCTCCTCTGGTGCATGGAAAAACCTTTCTCCACAGAACTGGTCCCTGGTGCCCGAAAGGTTGAGGGCTGCTGCCCTATGACACCCCTCAAGCATCAGAAGATTGCTATTATGCCTCCCCTTCGTCTTCTCTTCTTCAGGCTAAGTATGATTGTACTTGTAAATGATCTTCATAGGATTTAACCTCCAAGCCCCTTATATCTTAAAGGAGAAAATGGCTATTTTATTCCTATGTAATTTTACAACTTCTGGAATGCTACTGTATTTTCTACTTCACTACTATCGCAGCTAAGCATCAAATGCACACAGGTCGCTGAAGAAAGGAGATCCGATGTTAGTTGGTAAGGAAAAAAAAATGGTTCATATAATGCAGCTAACAAAGAAATCCACATACCTGCCAATAGCCAAGAGATAATAGAACACGCATTATTTTCAAATCTAGGGCTGTTATTTCCTATTTAAAGCACTACAGCCTTAACTTTGTGCATTGCCGTGTAACTGTTAAGGGCAGAGATTTTTTTATTAGGAAAAAGAATGCTTGCCTTTCCCTTTTTCTATTGTCAAAGAAGGTCCACAGGAAATAACAAAACAAAAATTGATCTACGTCTTTCTCATATTTTCAAGACATTGGAGAAAGCAAGAAACACAGTTGTACTTGGAATTTTAAAATTATTTAAGAGCTGCTTCATTTCTTCTTTCTTGCTTGTCCACTCAAATCAGTCATCTAGGTCTGAGGATCACTCCTTTTTTTGTAAGCAGACATTAATCTACTCTGCTCTTATTCCGGGCATTTTGAACAGCTAGCGGTCCCTGGCTGCAAATCCGAAGATGACTACTAAACTAAATGTTGCAGGTATGCTATTCTAAAAACTGTTTTTGCTGTTAATTATGAGTAGAGAATCCTGCAAAGGATGATCAAGAAAATAATCACAAGTAGTTCCAAGGAAAAACAGATACGGTAACAAGACAGTTAAGCCTTTATTTAAGACACTCTGGCCTCTTTCCTACTGCAAGATATCCCTTCCCAGAGAAGTTTTGCAAAAGAGAAACAGCATTTGAGCTAACTTTACACATGGTTGGCATTTTTTTAGCTAATGTGAGCCATCCCAGAGATAGGAGTTTTTTAAAAAAGGAGATAGAAACATAGAAATGTGATACATAAATAAATGTTCCAATAACCCCCAAACCCAACATAGAACTGCATGTCCTTAGAAATTAAATACTAAAGTAAATTATCATTAGATTAGTACTGCCGTACACAAGGAGTGATTCAATAACATTTCTGATGCAAATTTGTGATAGAGTTTTAGAGCTTTAGAATATAAATATTGTACTCTTTGTCTCTAGAATTGAACAACTGGTTTCTTATTTGTGAATAGTTCAACCAAATCCACTTGCTGGTTATTACGCATGAGCAACTAATGTACAAGTTCTGCATGTTTATTTTTTCAGTGGTTGAATAAGAAAATATTGTTTCAGAGAGAAAATAGATTTCAGTAAGCATGGTATATACATATAAATTCAAGATTCAAAGTACAGTAGTTATCTATGGTTGTATTACTCAGATTAAATAAATGAATTAAAAATTAGGAAACATTGAGCCACTAACACATAATCTACAAAACTCATATAGGGGAATTAAAAACAGGGAAGTAGATGGCCTTTAATAAACATATCCTCAATGACAGTGTCTATGCCTTCATCCCAGACTTTTATCTATTGGAATATTGTGACTGTAATTCTATGCCTAATTAATTGGGAATAAGATTCTTTAGTGAAATGTCAAGTCCCTGCCAATTAGGGGCATCCATAATGGTAGTCAAAGACAACAACATGGGAACCATAAGTAGGAAATGATGTCCCACCCCCTTTTAATATGCATTGCACATATCACACATACATAAAAAGAGGCAAACCTTCCATCTTCTGTTGGTGCCATTTTGATGCTGTTGACCATTACTAATGGGGGTGGGATAGATGGATAGATAGGTAGGTAGGTAGATAGATAGATAGAATGAATAAATTGTAGTCTGTTGTTCATGTTTCTCTCTCTCTATTTTTGCCTGCCTTTTGTCTCATTTTTCACTAGTTAATTTTTTTAATGCTTGGCGATCTTTACTGAATCAACCA